TGCCTTCGGCTCAGGTCATGATCCCAGGGTCCTGGGATCGAGCCCCGCATCGGGCTCATTGCTCGGTGGGAAGCCTGCTTCTCCCTCTCCCACTCACCCTGCTTGTATTCCTGCTCTCGCTGTCAAATAAATAAATAAAATCTTAAAAAAAAAAAAGAGTAACAGCTGTCAGTGAACTTAAACCAAAGCCACAGGGGTCAATTTCTTGGTTACTGGAGCTAAGGTTATCATTAAAACATGGTGCCTTTTACTGCATTAATAAAATACTGGTGGGCAGGAACCCAAAACATAGTAGTTTAATAACGAGTAATTTAATAAATGAATGGTCTTAATAAGCTGCATATACTACCTTGGCCTCAAAACAGACTTTCCCCTTTGTCACGCCGTAAGTACTCCTTGCCCCAGACCAAAGGGTGGGGAACTTCTCTGAGAAAAGTGGCTGCCCTCCATAGCGGTCTTTGCTCACTTGAAAATGGAGATCCGAGGTATCTGTTAGAAAGAAGCAATCTGTTTATTCCAAAGCTCAACACCTGAAAGCCAACAGAACACAAATATACCTAGTTGTCAAGAATGGATACAAAGTCTCCGGTTGCTAAATCTCTTAAAAATCGCAGGCCATGAAATTTTAATATCCCAAATCATGTGTGATTCGCTGAAAACCCCAACCTATCTGCCTTATACATACACGTGTCCAGGTTCACAAGAGTCTGATCCTCCTCCTCGTCTTTTGCCTCTTCTTCAGGGGGTGGTGGAGACTTTGAGCTGTAGGTATGAGAAAAAAGCAATAGTGTATCCAAAGCCCTCTTCTTTGAGGGGTGTCTGTGTCTGTAAAATGTTTTAAACCATCAGTGAGCAGTGAATATAAAACTCGAGCAGACAGCTTCTTTCAACAAATGAGAAAACAGCAATAGGAGCTTTCAGAGCAGATTCGATCTAAAACTTATGCCTATAAAAACCTATTCCATTTTTAATCCACCCCTCTTTCCAAACTCTCCAATCAACATCAGGTATACCAAAATCAGAGCAGACACTCCTTTCAATGAAAGGGACTGTTTCCCTCACCGGCTGTGGTAAGCCTCCTCTCGGAATTCATAGTAAGCTCGGCCATGTTCATCCTTCTCATCCCGCTGTCTCTTTACCCCCCGCCGCTCACCATCTGAGCCTGCTGGTTTTGACTTTTCACTATCTTGGTCATCTCCTACAAAAAGGAGGGAAAGAAAATCAGCAGTTTTCATTTTGGAATGTAGAATAAGCTCAGAACCAATAGCAACTAAAGGGGAAGCTGAGTGTCTAATCAGAACAGCCAGATTATTCCCACTGCATCCACAGAATGTTTTATTTCTAAAGATCATCTTCCTGTCATTGGCTGGTATTTTATTTTAGAAAAAAGAAAGGACGGACATTATGGGCTAATTACAGTCAAGCAATAGATAAAAATTGGACAATTTTTGCATTCTAAATTTACCTGCTTAAATCAGGTCAAACTTGCAGATTTTCCCACCAATATGACATCTTTGAAAATCCCCTAAGTCTTTAAAACACTTCATAGGTTAATTTAATTTTGATTCCTGTCAGATTTGGATGTAAGCTGGACGCTTAATATACATTTTCCAACACTCTTCCACAGCTTCATGATATAGACGCCTCAGTATGTGTGTGTGCGTTTTAAAGAGTTTGCCTTTCTAGCTTAGAATGCACAGCCATTCACAGCTTTTACTTATATAGCAAACAGACTCAGGTGCATATACACAGCTGTATTTTTATCATGGGTTTTTACTGAAAGTCGCCAAGAGCAAACCATTAAGTCACAAGAGACCCATAAATAATACTGCATCTTTACTGCACATAATTTGGGCCAGAAAGGTGTTGTCATATATTTAGCAACATTCTCTGAAAGAGGGGGAAAAAATTGGAATTTTTCCTTAGGCTTTGGTAGTTTTCAACACGAAGATTTTTAATAATAATTTCTTTAAAGCAGTCCTTTATCTCTCAACCTTTTTTATCTGCTATTTGGGATACACGTTAAGTCAAAGGTTATGTAATGGGATTTTTGTTCGAGGACACAGAACAAACAATCTGTAAGTTGCATGTGACTGTCTTAGAATGGGTTCCAATCATACCATGATTACTAATAGCAGCTTAAAAAAAATCTGTTATAAAAACTAAGGCAACCCACTTCATAGTAGGACCTGGAAGCAGCTCTAGTTTTCCTGCCTACTCTGACAGACAGGTATGGATCCAACCACTTCAAAAGAAAAAAGGTCACTAACTCCCTGGGGCGATTCTACACATTCTCTTCCGAGGTTACTCAAATGGAGCCACTAACACCTCAATCGTTGCAATTCAGGAAGTCAGGGATCTAAAATGTAAAAGGCTGACCAAGTGTACAGCAAATCCACAAATTTGCCCATCCACGGACCCAGTGAGAAGATTACAATTTAATCATAAGAATTCAGGCAAGATAAAACCTCTACCAAGAGGCTGGCTGGTTCTAAATGCACTAGATCAAGACCTTCTCTTCACTAGTTAACTATTAAACTCCACACCCTCACACCACAGGCTGCTAAAGCAGGAGCAAGGTTAGATTTTCAGATTCACTGTGTGGCTCAAGCTCCAGCCACTGGATGGAGCGAACTTTGGCGAACTTAGCTTATTGCTTAATATTTTTAAGGCGGAAATGTCAATAGTCAGGTAACCCAAAGGCCAAAACCTCCAATAGTCCGGTCTGGCCGTCCGTGCAATCGCCAATTTCTCAGCGCATTCCCGCTTTAGGAAAAGATAACCAGTACCGCGGGAGGCTGCTCCACAGGTAGCTCATGAGCAGTTCGCATGCAAAATCGCTCACTTCCATCCACTACCACCAAGGAACCGAGTTAGGCAGGAACCTCCCTCCTGCAGAGAGCGGGGCCACCAGAGGCAGCCAAACCCCCCAGAAAGGTGGGTAGAGAATGAAAACCACCTCCCCTGGGGAGTCCCACCAAAAGGCGACGGGAATCTTGCGCTTTCGGGCAAGTGAGAACAAGGATTCGGACCCCGCGGTGCACGGCTGGGTGCTGGGTCGGGGGCAGTTTGGAGCCCGGCTCCGCTGCCAGCTCCTCACCCTGTTCCTCTGCGGCCTTGTCACCCGGCGCCTCGGATCCCGGCGTCTCGTCCCCGCTCCGCTCCTCCGGCTCTTCCTCCTCCCCCTTGCCGGTGCCCTGCTCTTCGCCACCATTTACCCCACTTGACCCGGCCGTGGCCTCCTCCGCCGGCTTCTCGGAAGCATCAGGCTCGGCCGCGGCCTCCATGGCTGCCGCCTCCGGGGGCTCCGGCGGCGGCTGCGCGGCCTGGCCCGAGGCCTGGGCAGGGGGTGGCTCTTCGTCCTCGTCCTCAAGCAGCGCCTCCTCGTCCTCCTCCTCCTCTTCTTCGTCGTCCTCCTCGTCCCCGCCCGGGCCACCGCCCGACGCGGCCACAGGCCGAGGCTCCGCCTTGCAGGCCCCGCCGGGCCCGGCCCCGCCACCGCCGGCCTCGTCCTCGAGCATCTCGGCGTCCAGCGCCTCCTGCAGCCGCTGCGCCAGATCCACCTTTAAGCCGCGCGAGTCCAGGCCCCGCCGCTGCAGCTCCGACCGCAGCTCGGTCACTTTCAGCCGCTTCACCTCCATCGCCGCCGCCTCCTCCGCCTCCCGCCGCCTCCTCCCCTGCGAACCGTCGACCGAGCCCGACCGCGCAGGCGCCGCCGCCGCCCGCCTCCGCCTCACGCGCCAGCACTGAGCCCGCGCGAGCGAGCGAGCGCACGCACGTACGCACGCAGGCAGCGAAGGCCGCGCGCAGCCTCCGCTACGTAGTGTTTGTTTCTCCCTTCTGCTCCCCTCCCCCTTTCGGCTCACGGAGCCCAAAACAACGCAGCGGGAAACTGCTTCCCTCACAGACCCCTCGGTTCCCCTGTCGCGGGCGGGCGCGCGCCAAGGACGACGGACTTCCCTCCCCTTACCTCCCGCCCCCTCTCACCCCTGGGCCAATCGCCGCCAGTAGTTTCACCGCGCAGCCGCACCGGAGCCGGAGACGGGGAAGACTGGCTACGGTTCAAGTGCCTCGTAGCACGGAGGGGTGTGCGCGCCCGCCTTCCCGTACTTCCAACCGCGGGCTCTGCGCAGCCGCCGGGAGCTCCCTTCCCACACGCCCCTCCCACCCCGTCACCACCCTTACTCCCGTCTGGCTTTCGATCGCGCTGTCGTTTTAGGACTTGCTTGCTAGTCTTTCTTCCCTACTACCTATATGTGCAGCAGCTTCTTGAGAGGAAAAAAAAAGCCAGGAGGGAAAATGTTGCAACTTGAAAGCCTACTAGCAATAGTTCTGCTTAGTACACAAAGGGCTTCCCCAAACCAAGGAATATACAGGGACTTCCTGGCCCTCTTCTTGCAATCCTTCAACTTCTCTACCCAGCAACAGACGGCGGGACCTCGCCTTTTAGCTTTCTTATTGGCCAACTTGAATCGACATCTGCAATTCTGATTGGTCATGCGTGATCGTCCGGAATCTTCCAATTGGCGAAGCTGCCGGGAGTTTTTTTTTCCGGGTTGATCCGCAGAGGGCCTGGAGAGGCGGGGTCGTTTCTGCGGGATTACTTTTTCGAGGCCGCCTTTGATTGGGCGGCGTGGCGCAATGCGCGCGACCCTTTAGACTCCAAACTGTCAGGACCCTGGCGTCGGTGCTCTAGGTGCTTCCGCCCATAAACCGAAGCCGAGGAGGAGACTTCCGTGCTTGGGCATTTGCAGAGGGCGAGCGGTTGGCCGTGGGGCTTGATGGACTTGCAGCTGAGCTGCTCTGCTGCCGCGTCAGTTTATGCCTGTGCTTTGGGTGCACGGAACGCATTCAGCTTGGTTCCCAGCTTCTGACACAGACATAAACAAATGTTTGTTGAATACGTGCAAATAAAGAGCAAGGGTGGAGGCAAGCCCTGTAGACCTCTTTTAGCAGTTGTCCCCGCCTATTCCCTCCCACTTCCGGGTCAGGGAGGTGTGTCCAAAAGAAAGGAGGAAGCAAATTCCGCCGGCATTCCCACGCCTGCCACAGTTCCTTAGTACGGCCTTTGATTTTTAGGGAGGGTCTGTTCACCCCGCAGTCTCTTTAGGAAATCACTTAATCTCTGGCTTTACTATTCCCACATCCTCTCCCTGATTAGTCCTGTATTTCTAGAGATTGAAAAATACTGCAGGGAAGAGAGGAAGGGGCTGTAGAAGAAACAAGCAAAACTTATTCTCTGGGGGGCGTCCTGGAGAAGGGTAATTTCGTGCATTCTTAAATCGGCTACCTAAATCAGTTATTTTGCTCTTATCTCCAGACCTTCAATTGCTCTTTCACTTCCCAATTCCGCAAGAGCTCTGGGCGGCGAGTTATGGAGAAGCGCCTGCGGGAGGCTCAGCTGTACAAGGAGAAAGGGAACCAGCGTTACCGAGAAGGGAAGTACCGAGATGCTGTAAGTAGGTACCATCGAGCTCTGCTTCAGCTGCGGGGTCTGGATCCAAGTCTGCCCTCCCCGATACCTAATCTAGGACCTCAGGGCCCGGCCCTTACACCTGAACAGGAGAACATACTGCACACCACCCAGACAGACTGCTACAACAATCTAGCTGGTAAGAACAGGGCTGAAGGGCGGGTAGAATCTCAAGGCAGGCACGTGGAAAGCTGTGAACATTGGGAAAAACACGGGCGTGCTCTTCTGTCATGTAATTATTCTGCCATGAATTGAAATGTATTTCCAGTCTCTAGGGCTCTAAATCAGTTTCTACAGGGCCGTGCTTCTCAAACTTCACTTGGAGAGTTTGTTAACTGAGCCCCACCCTCAAGAGATTCCAATTTAGTGGGTCTGAGTTGTGGAGGGGGGAGAACTACCAATTTGTGTTTCTAACAAACTCCCAGGTGATGCTGATAGATTTAGGGAATTTTGCACGCTCTGGAGAAAACACTGAACTTACGTTTATGGCATTGTTTCTTTAATATAGGAAAGAAGGCACTTGCTTTAGCTGGTGGTGTCAGTCATTATGAGATGTTTTGGACAACTTTTCCTCGTTTTCCTTCTTCCTTTAAGTCAGCTCTTAGGGGCGCCTGGGTGGCTCAGTCTGTTAAGCATCTGCCTTCAGCTCAGGTCTTGATCCCAGGGGCCTGGGATTGAGCTGGAGTCCCGACTCCCTGCTCAGCTGGAAGTCTGCTTCTCCCTCTGTCCCTCCTGTCACTCATTCTCTCAAATAAATAAATAGATAATATCTTTAAAAAAAAAATCAGCAGGTCACCTGGGTGGCTCAGTCGATTGGGCATCTGCCTTAGGCTCAAGTTGTGATCCCAGGGTCCTGGGAGCGAGCCCTGCGTTGGGCTCTCTCTGCTCAGCGGGGAGCCTGCTTCTCCCTTTGCATACTTATGTGCTCGCTCGCTCTCTCTGAATCTTAAAAAAAAAAAAAAAAAATCAACTCTTGGATAACTAGTGTCATCCATCTCCATATGGCCTTGGATGAAGAGACAAATGCCAGAGTTACTATCACTAAGATTAACCTGCGAAAAGAAAGTAGACTTCTTAGGTCTGTTCTCTGGCGGACAAATAATCATAGAGCTAATGAAATTATTTTGAAATATGTTAAAGCATTCTAAATGGTCCCAGCTGAGGCCATGGAAATTATTAGGATTGGTTTTTATATTTCGTGATGGTTATTTAAAAGTGATTTTCTTACTACAATAGTTTTCACCTATGATTTGGTGAAAATCTAGCTTTGTTATCGTGTGTGTCCAGCACTACTCTTAGACTCAAGTACCGACAATAGTAATTATAGTAGCTAATGTTTCAAGTCATTCAATTCAACATTTATTTGGTACTAAGGACATGGGAGGATAATGAGACAGATAAAAAGAGCTGCTCTCATGGAACATAAATTCAAATAAGGAGATGGACAATTAACAAAGGTAACATACATAATATATGAGATGACGTTAAGTGCTGGGGAAAGGAATAAAGCAGAGAATGGGGACAGTGAGTGCCACAAGAGGGTGGCCAGCCAATATCTTCACTTTGTAGGTGGACCTGATGGCAAAGAGTATGGCTTAGCCATCCATGGAGCCTCTGCTTGGAGGTGCTTGGGAGATGCTCCATAAAGACTTACTCAATTAACCATTTTCACTCATTGAATGCCTGTAACATGTGGGCCCGTTTATTTACAATATTTCTTATCTTCATAAAAATTCTGCCAGCTACTTGTGATTATTCCCATTTTGCAGATAAGGAAATGAGATCGTGTCACTGCCGAAAATCCTCCAGTGGTATCTCATTACACTTAGGAAAAAACCCCAACTCTGATGCTCACCTGTAGGCCTGACATGGTCTGGCTCCTCCATACACGGAATTTGCAAAGCACATTTATTTCTACTTTCTAGCTTTACAAAGCTAGCTCTTCTCTCTCGGCTGGAATGCCCTGTCCCTTGAGTGACCGTGGTCATTCAGAGCTTGGTTCAAAAGTTACTTTCTTCGAGAGGCCTTGTATAATCAAGCATCACTCCGACCTCATTCACTGTATTCCTAGCATAGTTCTGTTTTCCTCAAAACACTTCTAAAAATTCATTTGTTTATTGTGTACTCCTCCTACTTGGGGGCTAGGATGCAAGTGGTGTTTACTCATCAAGATGTCTGTCTGGGGCGCCTGGGTGGCTCAGATGGTTAAGCGTCTGCCTTCGGCTCAGGTCATGATCCCAGGGTCCTGGGATCGAGTTCCGCATCGGGCTCCCTGCTCAGCGGGGAGCCTGCTTCTCCCTCTGCCTCTCTCTCTCTCATGAATAAATAAAATCTTAAAAAAAAGAAAAGAAAAGAAGGATGTCTGTCTGGTTCCTCTTCCCTGCTGCTCCTGGCTCTGCCTAACATATGGTCGGTGCTGCATAACCATTTGTCAAATAATGAATGAAGCTACAGTGATGGATTAGTTAAATATAAGCCATATGACCACTTGGTGGGGATGTTGTAGAAGGGATGCAGATGTAAGCCTGGGCCCTTTAATGTCCTCAGAAGCCCTGATTCTCCTTCTCAGCACCATGATTAAATAATACTGTGTTTAATTCCTACAGTCATGAAATAGGGAGCACATTTCCCTTCTTAATTATAGAAAGGCTGAACATTGCCTCCTAAACAGATTTGTATTTCGAAGTCCCCTTATATAATCCAAGGTAGTAGTGAAGTAATATATTATCAAGAATGATGGTTTGGGAATTAGAGAGTCCTTGGTTCAAATTTCATATTCCACCTAGAAGCTGTGGGATCTTGGACAAGTTACTTTATCTCTCTGAGCCTTGATTTCTTTGTCCAATACATGGAGAGGGTAACACCAATTTCATAGACTGGATGAGAAGATTGAACGAGATTATGTTTTGTTTTGTTTTTTAAAGATTTTATTTATTTGTTAGAGAGGGTGAGAGGGATAGAGAAAGGCAGGCAGAGGGAGAAGCAGACTCCCTGCTGAGCAGGGAGCCCAACGAGGGGCTCAATCCCAGGACCCCGGGATCATGACCTGAACCGAAGGCAGGTGCTTAACCCACTGAGCCACTTGGGCATCCCTAAACGAGATAATGTTTTATCAACCACAGTGCTTGCTATTTTCTCACATAATTGATGGCAACCGTTGTTGTTTATAAAGCTGCAGTACAGGGGCACCTGGGTGGCTCAGCTGGTTAAGCCTCTGGCTTCGGCTCAGGTCATGATCTCAGGGTCCTGGGATTGAGCCCTCCCTTGGGTGCCCTGCTCAGCGGAGAGTATGTTTGACTCCCTCTCCCTCTGCCCATCCTCCTGCTCGTGTACCTGTGCGCTCTCTCTCTCTCTGTCTTTCTTTGCTGGAGAGCAGGAGGGCACAAGCAGGGGGAGTGGCAGCGGGAGAGGGAGAAGCAGGCCCCTGGCAGAGCAAGGAGCCTAATGTGGGGCTCGATCCCAGGACCCCGGGATCTTGACCTGAGCCCAAGGCAGACGCTTAACCAACTGAGCCACCCAGGCGCCCCTCTCTCTGTCTTTCAAATAAATAAAATATTTTAAAACTGCAGTACAATAATTGTGGTTAAATGGGGATTCAAGATGGAGAGCCTGGTGTAGAAGAGAAACAGTGAAGAATTTTAAATTCATTTTAATGTATGTTCCTATCAGTTTTATAGCTGGACTTAACCCAGCACTAGGCACATAGTAAGCATTCGGTAGCTATTAGGGTCACTTAACAAGGTACGTAAAGCTTCTGTTCGCTGTTGCAGCCCCGGTGCCTAGAAGAATGTCTGACGCATGGTAGACACTTAGATGCATTAGATGAGTGAATACTGTTGGTATTGTCCTCTGGTGCTGCCTCCGACTGGCCCGTGGAACTAAGTGTAATAAGCCCCTCCTCCCTCTTCTGTCTTTCCTTTCATTTGGCCTATTAGCCTGTCTCCTTCAGATGGAGCCAGTGAACTACGAACGAGTGAAAGAATACAGTCAGAAAGTCCTGGAACGACAACCTGATAATGCCAAGGCCTTGTATCGGGCTGGAGTGGCCTTTTTCCATCTGCAGGACTACGACCAGGCTCAGCACCATCTCCTGGCTGCTGTCAGTAGGCAGCCAAAAGGTGAGAGAGAAGGGGGTGGAAGTGGTAAGAACAAACAAAACTGTCCTGCAGAGGTGCTTTCTGTCAGGGGGGCGGGGGGGGTGGGGAAGAGGGAATATTTTATTTTACTTTTTCAATTTATTGAATGTTTTTGAATCGACAATAATATATTCACAGAGCTCAAAATTCAAAAAGTATAAAGAGGTATTTGATAAACTGGCCTTCTTCTATCCTTGTATTCTTGCCTCCACAGGAAAGCAGTATTGTATACCCTCCAGAAGTAGTTATGCTTCAACAGGCATATATATAATCTCCCCTCCATCCCCCCCAGTGAGAGAGATTTTAAAGCATTGTTTTTCAAGTTTCAGGTCCGAGACTGTAACTGAAATAGTATCTAGATTCCAGTGAATATACTTGATGATCCTTATTTCTGGCAGCTCCCCCACTGGGTCTGGCCTTTGCTTGAGCTATCATTTTATCCTTTAGCTCAGCTAGGCCTAGGTATGACCTAGAAAAAGGGCAGGCCTACTGAGAGAGAATTTGAGACTTGGTTCTTTGTTTCCAAGGCAAGGATATTGTGAAGTGGATTATAGACTCATTCCTGTGTTCGTGGTTCAGCACTGAAAATTGTCGCCATTTTGCATTCTGGCTTAGAGCAGCTATGAGATGCTAGAAGCAGAGGGTCCCCAAACATAACAATGCAGCAAAAACTCTCTAATGAATGGGGCGGGTGGGGCGCCTGGCTGGCTCAGTTGGTAGAGTGTGTGACTCTTGATCTTGGGGTTGTAAGTTCGAGCCCCACGTTGGGTGTAGAGATTACCTAAAAATAAAATCTAAATATAAGTTATAATAATAATAGAATAAATGAATGAGAAAGCCAGTGTGAATTAATAAAGACCTAAAACATGAGGCATTTGTTCATGTTTCTTACCTTCAAGTACATAGATGAACTGCCAGCCAGGATAGTATCTTTAGAGTCTCTATAGTTGTGACAGGTTTTCTTGAAACTCTTTTTCATTATCTTGAAACTCTTTTATTTCTTGAAACTCTTTTTCATTATCAAATTAACAACCAGCCAGCCCTGATTGTACAGAGATTTTTCTTCCTGTACAGAGATTTTTTAAAAAATTCACAGTGGTATTAATGAATGAGATTTACTATTGCAAAGAATAGTTATGATATATTCAGATCTTAGAAAGATTTTTAAAAACAGAAGTATGTGGAGGGGGAGATGGCAGTGGAGTAGGGAGACCCTAGGCTCCCCTTGTCCCACAAATCCAACTAGATACCTATCAAATCATCCTAAATACCCCAGAAATCAACCTGAAGCCTGGCAGAACAAACCACAACTAAAGGTAGAGAAGAAGCCTCATCGAAGAAGGGCTAAATTAGCAGCTGAAGTCCTACACCCACCTTTATGTATGTTTCCTTTTTTTTTTTTTTTAAGATTTTATTTATTTGAGAGAGAGAGACACAGCGAGAGAGGGAACACAAGCAGGGGGAGTGGGAGAGGGAGAAGCAGGCTTCCTGCGGAGCAGGGAGCCCAATGCGGGGCTCGATCCCAGGACCCTGAGATGGCAGACGCTTAACAACTGAGCCACCCAGGCGCCCCTATGTGTGTTTCTTCAGAGGAAGATTCCTGGGCTCTAGAGAGTAAAAAATACTCTGCATACTTTGTAGATCGGAACAAGCTTATTCTCCCAGAGAATATGTTTATTCTGATACTTAAACACACACACACACACACCCCCCTCCAAAAAAAAAAAAAATTTGTTCCAGCATAATACTAAGTAAACCCAAATGATTCTTTCCAGATTCAGAAATCCGGTCTTCCTCAAACCTACTTTCTGTAGTAAGTCCTTTGAAAGACTGGAATCTTGATTTGAAATAATAGTGCTGGTTTATATCATTTATTCAGAATGTCATTTGGGGTTATCGCTGACCTATTTTTGTAAAATAACCTCATCCCTAAAGTGGGGGTAGAAATGCTCGCTTGCAGAAGCCAGTAACAGTAACTTGGTATTTTCCCTAAGTATTTATAACCAATATGTTTGCTTTGAACATTTTAAAGGGCTTGTTTATAGGGCGCCTGGGTGGCTCAGTCGGTTAAGCGACTGCCTTCGGCTCAGGTCATGATCCCGGGGTCCTGGGATCGAGTCCCGCATCGGGTTCCCGGCTTGGCGGGGAGCCTGCTTCTCCCTCTGACCCTCTCCTCTCTCATGCTGTTTCTCTCTCGCTCGCTCTCCAATAAATAAATAAATAAAATCTTTAAAAAAAAATGGCTTGTTTATAAATTTTGGCCATGGCTAAAAAGGAAATATCTGACTCTATAAAAGTAGAAAAAATTGTAAAAAAAAAAAAAAAAAAAAAAAGCAGGAACTGTGTGAACAATCCTTTCCTGCCTCAAGGTGTGATCATGTTCTAACTGTCTCTAATTGCCTTCTTTGCCCTATTCTAAGACGCCAATGTCCGGCGGTACCTCCAGCTAACACAGTCAGAACTCAGTAGCTACCATCAGAAAGAGAGACAGCTGTACCTGGGCATGTTTGGTTAACAAAGAAGAAAGATGCTCCTCCACTTGAACTTGAAAGTTAAAGACCGGAGGGGAAACCTGAGCCTCAGCAAGAGAAATTAACCCCATACCTCTGACCCAGGTGGATTTCTGTTTTGTTTCTAGCCCTGCACAAACTCTTTGGCACTTATGCAGTCTGTGTCTTTTGGTGTTCCGTTTTTGTTTTTTTTTTTTTGGTCTATCCATCTATGTATTTGTATAGCTTTCCATACATGATATTTTTGGGGATATTTGCCTTGAGAAATACAATCAGCTATAGATGCAATTAATCCTCTCTATGGGATAGATTTTAATGATAGATGTTATATGTATCCATATACAGAGGAGAAGGCTAGTAAAGGATGAAAGAATGACAAAAGAGTTTTTTCTGTTTCCTCAGATGCCCAAAGCCAAAGTCACAGAGGCCACAAACTGGGAGATATATTATTGTGTGAAAACAGACAATTATAAATTGGACCCACATGACTTAAAAAGGAAAGATTTGAAATTAACCATTTTGGGGGTGCCTGGGTGGCTCATTATTAGGTGTCTGCCTTCGGCTCAGGTCATGATCCCAGGGTCCTGAGATCGAGCCCTGCATCGGGCTCCCTGCTCCGCGGGAAGCCTGTGTCTCCCTCTCCCACTCCCCTTGCTTGCGTTCCTGCTCTTGTTATCTCTCCCTCTGTCAAATAAATGGATAAAATCTTAAAAAAAAAAAAAATGAAATTAACCACTTTGATTAAATCAATTCCTTATTCTTAATATTCCATGTACATTCAGATTCTTTGTCCCTCCCACAAAAGTATCTGGTTTCTATTTTTTCTGGTGATAATTTCTAGTCCCTGCTATTGTTCATACTCAAAGCATTCATATAATATACTTATTTTTTCATTAAACTCTTCTTTCTTAAAACCTTGAGTCAAGCATTTAAGTATTTAATAATTCTTCAACCCTCATACCAAAAAACAAAACAAAAAACCCAAGTAAACATTTTAATTTTTTTTTTTTTTTAAGATTTTATTTATTTATTCATGAGAGAGAGAGAGAGAGGTAGAGCGAGAAGCAGGCTCCCAAGGAGCTTGGAGCCCGATGCGGGGCTCGATCCCAGGACCCTGGGATCATGACCTG